GGACCCCAGCAATGGTAAGTCGTTGCATTAGTGATGTCTATCATGCAGAATGTTGTAAAATGAGCTTGTATACTGTCCAGTCAGTATCAGGACCCCAGCAACGGTAAGTCGTTGCATTAGTGATATCTATCATGCGGTATGTTGTAAAATGAGCTTGTATACTGTCCAGTCAGTATCAGGACCCCAGCAACGGTAAGTCGTTGCATTAGTGATATCTATCATGCGGTATGTTGTAAAATGAGCTTGTATACTGTCCGGTCAGTATCAGGACCCCAGCAACGGTAAGTCGTTGCATTAGTGATATCTATCATGCGGTATGTTGTAAAATGAGCTTGTATACTGTCCAGTCAGTATCAGGACCCCAGCAACGGTAAGTCGTTGCATTAGTGATATCTATCATGCGGTATGTTGTAAAATGAGCTTGTATACTGTCTGGTCAGTAGCAGGACCCCAGCAATGGTAAGTCGTTGCATTAGTGATGTCTATCATGCAGTATGTTGTAAAATGAGCTTGTATACTGTCCAGTCAGTATCAGGACCCCAGCAACGGTAAGTCGTTGCATTAGTGATATCTATCATGCGGTATGTTGTAAAATGAGCTTGTATACTGTCCAGTCAGTATCAAGACCCCAGCAACGGTAAGTCGTTGCATTAGTGATATCTATCATGCGGTATGTTGTAAAATGAGCTTGTATACTGTCCGGTCAGTATCAGGACCCCAGCAACGGTAAGTCGTTGCATTAGTGATATCTATCATGTAGTATGTTGTAAAATGAGCTTGTATACTGTCCGGTCAGTATCAGGACCCCAGCACATGGTAAGTCGTTGCATTAGTGATATCTATCATGCGGTATGTTGTAAAATGAGCTTGTATACTGTCCGGTCAGTATCAGGACCCCAGCAACGGTAAGTCGTTGCATTAGTGATATCTATCATGTAGTATGTTGTAAAATGAGCTTGTATACTGTCCGGTCAGTATCAGGACCCCAGCAACGGTAAGTCGTTGCATTAGTGATGTACGCCAGGTCACGTGGTTTGATCGTTACACTTTCTGACCTGGAAACATTGGCTCCTCTGAAACACTAGTTGCACTGCTGGCAGAATTAAAAGTAGTTCGTCACCTAATCCCGTTATTTTACAACTGTTTTATTAGTGTTGTGTATGCTTACAAAATTATTGTTTAGTGGTATTTTTATTAGTTTAGTCATAACCTTATCTTGATACAATCACAGATAATAGACCATACAATAGATTTAACAGTTTCTTTCTACTTTCTGTAAGGGTAAACCATCTAATTTCATTTCCACTCGAAGGAAGTTACACATGTCTTTAGAAGTAATCAAACATATTTTACCATATCAAGAATATCGGGGTCTAAATTTTACAGGTAGTTTTTAAATAACAAGACCAACGCCTGTATTTTAAAGATGGTCCAGTTAATATGCAATTTTAAAAACTATCTTGGAAATATTTTGATATTGCATTGTGTGTGCAGCTTATGGGAATATAATCTATCGCAATATGTCGCATTAAATTTGTGCCCTATAATACTATCGTCTTAGAAAACAAGCATACTAAGGCCCCTATTAGCCGTGAGCAACATGTGGCGCAGCTAGCGGCGCCGCCGGCGGAGCCGCCGGTGGCCCACAGTGTTTTGGAACCTGGAGACTAGTCGCGCGACACATTCGTAGCTCGCTCAAACAACGAAATTCACCACAACATTCTCGTGTCAAACATGTTCGTTGAGTGACTGCATCCACAATTTGCACGTCACTATTACCACTAGACATTGTTTATCTAAACTAAAGACAACTAAAAACGCTAATGACACAAAAAGGAAAGAATACACTGTTAAAAAGGTCACTGGTAAACAAAAGTGAACCGAAGTCACTAATGAATATAACAGCAATATGGCGAGGCACGTCTCAATCGACTCAAACCACGATGTAGACTGTGTGACAGGCTCCGTTTTCACGTTTATAACGCATGCGAGCGCAGTCAGTGGCGTCGCATGTTGCCCACGGCTAATAGGCTCCATATACTGCAATGCCCCCCGACTGCCTGGACACTAAAACAGTCGCGACGCATGTTGCCGGGCAAAATCACTCCCGGCAACACCTCGGGCAGCTTTTTCGGCGGCGCCGCTAGCTGCGCCACATGTTGCTCACGGCTAATAGGCACCATTTGACTCCATGCCCCTCTACACGTCCGACACCGGCGGCGCCGCTAGCTGCGCCACATGTTGCTCACGGCTAATAGGGTCCTAAGCTAATTTCAATGAGTGGAGTTAAACTACAATGATTCCATAAACAAATAAAATTGTACATGGGTAGGTTATGCATTTCACTAGGTTGGCTGATATAGGGAAAGTAAAAAGTGATTTTTTTCAAATGTTAATATTGATTATTATAGGATGAAAGGAATGAACTAGCTAAATGAGATAATTTTCAACTGTTTTTTGATCCTCCATAAGAACATCATGAACATATTACATTTATAACTTTTGGAATTTTCTCCTTAACCGTTAGGCATACAACAATGTTTTAATATAAATTTTTTTTCGCTCCACAAAATAGTGTGGAAATAAATAGAAAAATGAAAAATGTTATGTTTTAGGGTCAAAAAAGGAAAAACCAAAGTTTACCCCATAACCCCAACCCCCTCTCCCGATAACAGACTAATGTACTTCCACTTGTCTATGGAAATATTTTTATTGAATTTAGTTAATGTTTTATTTCATACAAATCTATCGACTTGCAATTATTGAATATACACAGTTTTTTACCTTCCCTGTACTAATTACTAACCAAGTTCTAAGCAAACCTAAGTACTAATTAAAATGAGTGTCATTCAAATAGGAAATAAATCTGACAATTTTAAGGGAATATTTTAGTGGAAATCTAGCCAATTAAATTGGAATTTGCTTAGTTAGCAGGTTTGCTGTGGTGGGGGTATTTCATAAAAAAATCTAAATAATTCGTCTATAAAGACATTTTAAGTACCGTATTTACCTTATTCCAAACGTAAGTATTATGTTGTGAAGAAATACATTATGTTTGGAATTAAGGAAACACTTAATATAGACGAAATTACGGAAATGTAAATATTAACTAAACATGTAGAATTGCTATTAAATAAAAAATAAGAGAGATATTCAAAATTTATACCAATGGATGAACTGCATTGAAAGAGATATAAATGTTTTGTGATTAGGTCATTTAAGTACATTAGTACACCTCAAGGAAACTTTAACAAGTTTACTGTCTTACTATTCACAACGTCACTAAATAAATCCTGAAATATTCTGTAATGCCATTACATGGTAAAAACCTTTTTACTATTGTATAAATAAATCGTAACTTTTTATTTTGAATAAATAAACCAGTGATGAACAAAGGTTAGCCACCATTTAATTTGTCAGATACGCTACTTTTAATAGGCTAGGAAGAAATAATGTCATTATTATTGAACCTCAGGAGGTAGTGAACCAACCAGTAAATAATATCGTGAAAATTAAACACGTTGAAAATATTAATCATAATCAATTATTGCAAGATGTTTTACAGTTTGTGTTAAGTAGCTTTAGTTATATTACGAGGCTATAAATGTGAACCTAGTCTGCATATGTCCGATCTCATGACAGGCTATCGCTACGATGTCGTATCACTGCGATTAAGTAAAGGAAAATAATTTGTTAAACAAGAGGAAAACTGAGGTACAAAATAAATGTACGCAAAGTTATGCAAAGAAACTCTGCAACATACAGTGTTGTAGTGACCACGCACGAGCGCGTTTTTCAAAAAAGCAGGCTGTTTCAGTAAAACAAGATATTGTAATGGAGACATAAATCTCGTGCGCCACATAGCTTACATGTCACTACAGTATTATGCAAACGTACATAACAACGACACCGCGTCCTCACGCCACGGACGGACGTATAAGACATGTAAACATATTCAGCAACTCTAACTGTGTTCTTATCTCGCACATTAACTCAGTTTGTATGTCTCTGTATTCGTTGCGAAACACACGCCGTCTGCTTTTATGACAACATTACAAACAGTGTTTTACTTTAACTGTATAAGTAGGTATACTTGTGTCCAGACACTGTTTGAATTTAATTTATCTACTACTTTATACATTATTGTTTGTATTTGTATTTTAATTGTGATAGTTTTTGTTGCATTCTGTCGTTTTAACATAGTTTATCGTAGTAAGATTATTGTAAGAAGGTAATATTTGTAAAATATACACAATCTTAAAGGATTACACTTACAGACTATGCTCTTATTTAATTAAAATTTAAGTTTAAGTACATATGATGAAAAGCTTTAGGTTTACAGATCTGCAGCTTTAAGAAACTCGTGAACTACGATAACGGGTGCATTAATATTTTATGAAAATGAGTTTTCAGCTAAAATTACTCAGTGTTTGTAACCATGCTATATTTGATATTGAGGTTACTACTGCATTGAAGTATCCTTTTATATTAAATATGTCAAAATCCCTACGAATTTTCATTAATATTAAATTAATAGTGTTCAATAGTAAACTGTATAAACGGATATATTCCAACAGTTACTTTAACATGTATAAATACATGTTTGTTTTCCAGGAATACGCTTAGTGATAAACTAGAAATAAAATACAGATAGAACTACTAAACATTTTGTAAAAATAGAGAAACTTCGTCTCCTTCGCTATTGTATTAATATTTTTAATTTATCTTAAACAGTACTAAATAAATATAAAATTAACTACATCAATTACACGTAAATATGCTAAGTCAGTTGAAGGTTATTCCCAAAATTATTCGACGCAAATGTTATCCAGGTATGACTTTATAGCATGTTATGTCACTGTACATAACGGCAATAAAGTAACTAATGTGAATGATTATATATTGATTCTTAGATACAGTATAGGCTTTGTTAACTTACAACACATATTCACAACGACATGAGTTACTGTGTCTACCTAGTGATTGACATTAGTACTCACATTGCGTAGTCAGTGCTAGAGAGAGAGCGAGTGTGAGTGTGTGAGAGACAGAGAGTTGCATGTCACAGGCTGGGTCGTGAACACATGACACGCTCACTGTGGTGGAGGTTGGCGATGACACCCTGTATACCGCTCATGGCACGAGCCACAGTCACACTGCCACTGACTGACAGAAGCGCTGCCACCCCTTCTCAACCCCACATTACCACCCACCACCACCACCCACCACTGGGGGAATATCGCATATTGGCGGTTAATTTACCACGTGCTCAACCTACAACTGTATCACATCTCCATTTTTCACTTTAAGTAATCGCAGCGTGTGGTAATTTTCTTAAACATCGATTTTTTTTATAAGAAAAGGTACTGAAAAGATGATTATTTGAAACCTAATCAAGCATACATTTTACTGTAAAAGCTACCGAGAAGTAAACAATACATAATAGAATCAAGTATTGTAAATTATCCCTGCCGCAGCAAACCTGTGGACTCAGCGAATTTCCATTAGCCTGATTGAAGTTTCACTTAAATAAAGAACACAATCTGACGTGTGTGAATCTTTGCATTATTGGTATGAAAACTACCTTCACAGCAGATATCAATATATCTAAGTAGATATTAAGTATTCCTCAATCCTTCCAGTTTCAGAATATGGAACAATCCAATTGGTCCATGGGGCTCTTACCACGTTGTTTATTGGTGTTATGGTCTAGATATTGTTTCTGTATATGACACATGACAACTGGGTATCACAACAAACTTTTCAAAATAAAATCAGTAACCTTCAAATATTAAATAATACTACATACAATATTTAAAAAATGAACTAACTTTGGTGTGATATTAATAACGATACTATTAATTCTTAGCTATGAGGGGCTCCAGAAAAAATGTAATAAAATGTAAAAGTGCGACAATGACCATGTGCACTTTGAGTGAATCTACGCCGGTAGCACTTTTTTTGTAAGGGATGTAGCAGTTAGCATTTGTACACATCCCCAAACCCTCCAAGTAAATTTAAGATAATTTTGTTAAACCAATATCCTCTAAAATGACAAATCCACTGCTAAACCCCGCCCCTACCTAGCGGCGCGCGCACTGTAGCGCCCTCTGTTCAAGCTTCTAATTATTACGCCTTTTACACTTCATCCCCATCATTACCACAGCTCGATCAAAGTACGCCCTGCGTGTAATTATATAGGTTGCCAACGCCGTCGGCTCGAAACAGTTGCCAGATTACATAATTATCCTACTTTTAAACCTGTCCACGTACTTCTCGGTCATTGTTTATTTTGTCAGATTAATTTTTTAGCTGCCATATGTTAGTAGGCACAGTGTTTGAAGAGTTAAGATTATTTTAATAGTTATTTCTATGTGGTTAGTGTATTCGTTCTATTGACAACGAATATTTTAATCACTTACTTAATTCAATGGGAGCAAACCTTTATGTGACTAGCTATAAATAGTGGGTGAGGTGGTCAGGTGTGTAAATTGAGAAACAATTTAGTGTAAACCAACGAATTTATTGCATTGATTGTGCGCACAAAATAAATTACAGGTGACAAAACTAAATTAGTGACTAGGCTAATTTAATATAATAATAATTTAATCTAATGGGATCATACTTGTGCGTTAACAAGGTCATTTCTAATTGTATTAATGTACAGTAGTTGTATTACAAGGTAAGATTTTCGCCTCTTTAGCTTTACCCCGCTCTTTACAATTTTGTTTAAAACGTCCATGTCGTCTTATATCTACTTATAGGTGTATTTTTCATACAAAAATGATACTTTATGGAAAAGTAAGAGCAACGATTCCAGTGTAACTACATGATTATATACTTAAAGTTCCAAAACAAAATAACTAAAGATTTACATGTACGTCTCGATTTCATTTGTAATACAACACCCATCTCTTTGTTTATCGAGCAATACAACATTCAAATAACGACATCGTCGAAATTGCAGCCATATAAGAAAACTCCCTAACACTGGGTTAATACATGCTTTCGTCGTTCTCAACAATAAAAATATATATTAGATCTCTTACAAAGCGCCACAATTCAATTTAGGGTTATTGGCTATAAAAGGGGATGTCAGCTAAATTGGGTTACATTGAGCTTTCACCCATAGCAACCCCCCCGCCCCCCAACCATGTCAAAACTAGCGCGGCATCATACCACGTTTGTAATTTTTTCTGATAGAACTAAAATAAAAAAAAATTAATTTTTGATTCAAATTTTTACTTTTAATTAATGTGGAGTTGATGAATCCAATATTGTTAAGAAAGTATAAAATACGTATAGGTTTTGTAAAGACAGAGATAAAGAAAATATAGACCAAATAACACGTTATACGTACAAGAATACTACTAGAAGGAATATACTAGAAAGATATGGTTTGTCACAGAGGTGCAAGTACATAACATAGCTCTCTGATTCTGTACCAGTGATTAACTAATCTGTTGAACTTTGCATTAAGGTTCATTTTCCAAGTTATGTCGCAATATACTTTTCCTACAGTCACCTGACAAAGTGGGCTTCCTTGCACAGATATATGAAGTTACGTACCGTGCCGTGTTGCGTCCTGTATAATTGTACCCTAATTATAAAAAATGTATTAATAAATTATAAATTTTTAGCATAAAATATCGTGGTTTGTCTGGTTTTGAGCACCACAAAACCATTTATAGTAAGCCCACCGAATCTGATAATTACAAAGTTAATGCATAATGTTCAGCAGTTACACAATAGAACCAGCCATTGAGTCATGTGACCAAACAATGACGTCACTGATGGCTGGTCACATGCACATACGAAACAATGACTTCACTTACACCTCGTTACAGCCCGTTGTTCCAGCTGATGACGTCGGCTGCTTCCACCCGTTGAATTAAATTAATCTTGTAATTAAAATCCACATAAATATTAAATCTTCAATTGAATTATTATTCTAAACTTATATGCATGGATTGGTTGATTAATTTCGCTACAATAGCCTACTTAAAAATAGGATTGGGTGTTATGTGCCCTTATTTAAGCTATTGTTTTAAATCAAATAAAACATTGAAAGTGGTAATTGGTGGTTAGTTTAACAGCTAATCAATCTGTTAATCTTAATATGTTTGTCAAGTGAAAGCTCTATTACTTTATTTGTTTATTTTCCTTTGTTAGAGAAAGAATTTCAAGTAAGTCGAAATTGGAATTTTAACATTCGATAAAATTCAAATCAAATCAAATCAAAGCTTAATTTTCCAAAAGCAAAGAAAAAGTTTTGTAGTGTATACTCACCTATAAGGTAAGCCAATGGGTCCAAAATCATATACTTAACCATTAAATGAATGACTAAAACAAATTATATAAAATAATAAATAAAGAGATCTATAAGTAAATAATTATATTATATCGGACTGTATTGTATTGTTTGACTCAGAGTCCAGCACATCAACCGAAGATTGTGCATGCCGCACTTGCCAATAACTAGATAAACCTATAGAAGTGTCCTTGAGCAGGGCCAGGATTTTGCCCAATCTTACCATGAGGTTCATAAACTGGCTGTTTTTCAAACAGGACCCTTCTCCTATCCAAGTCTGTCACAATCCAGAATAATGGTTGTCATTGATTATTACCTGAGTGTGAGAGTGTTTCATGAAATGGTCATGTCCAGTGATGAGGGCAAGTACCTGCTTGACCTGCCATCTGGTCTGTGGTAAATAGTTATCCAACAATTTTTTAAACCTATTTACAATACCCCTGTATTTACATTAGCATAACAAAATTGAATAATATCTTAGTATTGTGTGGTTAGTTTGAGCTGCATTAACATGCTGTATTTATATTTTTACTGCACCTATTGTACAAGAAGATTGAGAAGGATGGAGCGTCGGAGGGAAGGAGCGGAAAGTCTGATTGTAGCCGGAACCGGAAACTAGCATCCGCATCAGTCAGCGGCGCATCTCACAACCTTCGGAAACATGTTCTGTTGTATATATTTATTTTATTTATTTATGCACTCGAACAAATTGCATATCGTAAAATATTACCTATGCTGCTTACAGAATTTATTAAAGCTTTTGAATAAGGTATCATTGTTTACAAATTACTTATTTTTCATTTTAGTTCATTTCTCATTTGAGTTCTCAAAATGTATTATATATGTTACAGCATAAACACGATTTTTAATTATTACGTTATATAGGAAAGGGTCTAATAATTCCATTTAAGCTAAGTGGTATCATGTATGAATTCTGAAAAAAAACCTTGCCTAAATAACAAACACTGTACAAAATTAGCTTAAAAATCTATATATTAATTTGAAACTGTTTTTCTTTGTGACAGCTAATTTGAGAGAACGGCTGGGCGTAGAAACTCGGTAGAGGTGTCTAATGAAAGGTCTTGGACTGTAGATGAGCCATCAAAAGAGAAACATGGTAAATTCCCTTGGGGCTCTGCCCCAGTGGCCTTTCAATTCCCATCCCATGTTATTCTTACGGAGGAAAACGGGGTTTTTGTCACAGCTAATTTGAGAGAACGGCTGGGCGTAGAAACTTGGTAGAGGTCTCTAAAGAAAGGTCTTGGTCTGTAGTTGAGCCATCAAAAGAGGAACGAAGTAAATCCCTTGGGGCTCTACCCCAGAAGCCTTTAAAGTTGCCTCTTCAGATTTGTTTACATTACGACCATATGCATAATTCTACACTACTTTTTAATGAAACAGCTGTTAATATTTAAATTGTGATTTATTGAATTTGTCAAAATGAAGTACAGTATTTGCAATGGGTTTTTCTGATTTTAAAATGGATTTCCTTCTGCATCTTGTCATGTTTTGCAAAATAATGTTATATTACCAAATCAGTGGAAAATCCTAATATCACAGTAACTCTTAAAATTATTTATTTTGGAGTTAACTTATATCTATTGTATGGGTTGGTTTCTGCCTTTTTTACCACTTCTTGGAGATTGTACGTAGGTGATATTTGTTGGCATATTGCATCTGTAGACGAAACTTGGGTTGGTGTAATTATTACAATGGAAAAGAGCGAGAAATCCGGGACAATTTGATTTAGGCTAAAAATAAAACTGAATTAACACTGTTCTACATTTCTTGAGCAATCATTGAAATAACCGATTTGCAA